AGGGAATGTTTATAAGCATAGAGTGACATTGAGCTAAATTAACACTATACAGCAACTGACCTAGCATGTTATGATTCAAGTGTGAGTGCCCCATTATGGATAATTTTAAAAGAAAACACATTGAAATCATTATGTATGTTAATCACAATAGAAGTCTGCTTTTCTGTTCCTAACTTCTAACCCTTTAAAACTAACCTCACCAGTCCTGCCCCATGCTTCTTACATATTTCTGACCCTAAAACTCAGGTGGCATTAGAAAAAAGTTTGGTTAGTGACCGCTAAGGGAACAGTTCAGCTCTATCAAAATTTTCCATAGAGTGTTTACATGAAAATTTTTAAAACATTGAGAATTTGATGATTTTTACTTTTCATAATGGGAGCATTGTTTTCACAATGGAAAGAATGAGGGTACTGGTGAAAGAATTTGCTAATCATCTTAATCATCTCCCAGCAGTCCTGGTTAACTGGAAAAGAAGTTCCAGGTGACTGCAAATTAGCAAATGTAACACTCATCTACAAGAAGGGTTGGAAAGATGATCCAGAAAATTACAGACCTGTCAATCTAACCACAGTTCCAGGCAAGACTGTGGAAGAGATTATCCTGAGTGCTATTACACAGAACATACAGGACAACCAGGGGATCAGGCCCAGCCAACATGGATTTACAAAAGAAAGGTCTTGCTTGATCAACCTGTTCTCTTTCTATGACAAAGTGACCTGCTTAGTAGAAGAGGGAATGGCTGTGGATGCAGTCTATCTGGACTTCAGCGAGGCATTTGACACTGTCTCCCAGAGCATCCTCCTAGAAAAACTGTCTGCCCATGGCTTAGGTGGGTGGATTCTTTGATGAGTAAAGAATTGGCTGGATGGCGAGTCCAGAGAGTTGTGGTTAGTGGAACTAAATCCAACTGGCAGCTGGTCACTAGTGGTGCTCCCCAGTGCTCAGTATTGTGGGCTATTTTACATCTTTGTTGATGATGTGCACATGGGAATTGAGTGCACCCACAGTAAATTTGCAGATGACACTAAGTTAGGTGCGAGTGTTGATCTGCTCAGGGGTAGGAAAGCTCTACAGAGAGACCTGGAATAACTTGATCAGTGGGGTGAGGACAACTGCATGAGGTTCAACAAGGCAAAGTGCTGGTCCTGCACTGGGACACAACAACCCCATGCAGTGCTACAGGGTGGGGGAGGAGTGGCTTGAGAGTCCAGGTGGCCAAGAATTCCAGTGGCATATTGGTCTGTATCAAGAATAGTGTGGCCAGCAGGACTAGGGAAGTGATCATCCCCCTGAGTGAGTCCACTCCTTGAGTACTGTGTTCAGTTTTGGGTCCCTCACTTTAAAAAGGACACTGAGGCACCGGAGAGTGTCCAGCAAAGAGCAACGAGGCTCATAAAAGGTCTAGAACACATGTTGTATGAGGAATGTCTAAGGGAGTTGGGTTTCTTTTGCCTTGAGAAGAGGCTCAGGAATGACCTCATCGCTCTCTACAACTACTTGAAAGGGGGTTATAGAGAGGTGGGGGATAGTCTGTTCTGCCATGCTTGCAGTGAGAAGACTAGAGGGAATGGCCATAAGCTGAGACAGGGGAGATTCAAATAAGATACCAGAAAAAAAAATTCACTATTAGGGTAGTCAGGAATTGGAGTAGGTTACCCAGGGAGGTGGTGGAGTCACCATCCCTGGAAGTGTTTGAGTCTAGTGCTGAGTGCACAATTGAACTTGATGATCTTAAAGGTCTTTTCCAACCTTTATGATTGTATGATTCTCCTCATCATCCTAAAATCTTAGAATATTTATTCTTAAACTGCTTTTGTATTAAACCATGCTGAAAGTGGTAGGAGTACAAGCATTTGGTCTGATCAGACCTAAAGAAGCCTAATGAATTTGTGTTTTGTTAATTAACTGCTGTTTGTCCTCTACTATTCTTAATAAAATACTATGCAACAGCCCATCAAAGAAGTAGCACATATGATGATGGGCTTGCCAACTGTTGCTAAATAGTATCTCTAATAGCTAGGTTCTACCTTTCCATTAGGGATAAAGAAGTCTTTTTCTTTTAGTCTAAACCTAGATCCAAAATAATTTTCAAAACATTTTCCATTTGGGACTTCCTTTTCTCAGACATCTACTTTTGGCTGAAATTAAGCAGTTGGCTTGGAAGTTAATGGCTAAGACAGACAAAAAGACAAAAATAACTGAACAATATGTAGGTTTTGGAAGAGTGTGTCTGTAAAGAGTTTGGAGGAATAAAGAAAAACTGTGTACTGCTGCTTGAAGAAGACAGAAGAACAGAAGAACATCAATGAAATGTACAATTGCCAAAAAATTCTTTCCCAGATTAAAACATTTCAAATACTGAATTCAATTCAATTGAATACTGTAGGGTGTCTAACCACCTATGCAAATCTTTTTCTTGTGATAATTATTTGCCTAGTCATGGCAATTAGATTGGTTTAAATGGAACAGAGAACAAAAAGAATTAAAACTATATTTCTACTTTGGATATATTTACCACAAAATCACTAATGATTACCACCCTAAAAACCCCCACCTGATTTCTCCAGGCACTATTCTCTCCTCTCCTTTTTCTTTCTTAGCCATTCATTTTCCCTAGTGTTTCTGTCCACTTTTGGCTGTTACACTACCTAAATAAGGAGTAACAGTCACCTCCCAATATAACTAACCAAACAGTAACATACCCTCATGTTTCAAGGCACTGAAGTATTCTTGGCTTATTTTAAGTGCCAGTTGTTTTTTCTTTGCTTCTTCTGGGTCTACAGGAACTGGAATGTCTTTCACTTTGGATGGAGTAGAATGTGATCCTGCAGGAAAACAGACCTCTCAGACTTTGGACTTTGCTGTTATTTTTGTGTATCCATACACAGGCACTCATTAGAGAGCATATTATTTTAATGAAAAATGACACTTTCACTTGATGTGACAGTTTATGAGAACGCAAAGGTGGGTACTCAGCTGTCTTATGTCAATATAACTTAGATTCCTTCAAATGTGATTTACATCTGAAGTCATGCTAAGATTAACACTGCATAAAAATACCCCATCATAAACAACTGTATCAAACTTGGTTAAATAACATCCTAAAATGTATTTCTGAATAGAAAATCATGATTGAGTAGGTGTGTCTCTGTTTTGATCCTAGGTGATCAGAATGTCCTGTTTGACCCTAATATCTACCAACTTACCACAACCAGTACATAAATAAAACTCTTTCCAGTAACAGTAGTTTCTTCCGGAGCAAAAATTTGAAACAAACTGTAGTAAAAATGTTATGTTAGTAAATATCATTGATTACCATCACAGCAATGAAAAGTACAATGCTATTTTCTTAAAATAAATTGCAATATGTCAGAAAAAAACAAAAGAGATGTAGTCATTTCATGCCTATCTAAACCACTCTGTCAGCTGCATTTCCAGTTTAACTTACTTATTTGTGAACAGATATTGTAAAAGTATTTTATCATGTTTTCAGAGATTACATTAATTCTGTAGCCATATCACTTTGACTGTTACTCAAAAATACTAAAATATTTGTAATTGCTTTATCCTAAAAGAAGAGCAGATGGAAATGTTACAGAAAAAAAATGCACCTCTATGATATATAAGGTCAACATATAGTAAATCTTGAAGTGAAAAAACATTTTATGTGATAAGTTGTATCATTCAAATACCAGTCCATAGCTCTATCCTAGGGAATTCTTAGAACACTACAATAACACTGTATATCACATGAAAACAAAGTTGATACTTCAGTACCAAAGACATCAGTTGATGCTATGTAGAATGTCTTTACAAAAGATACAAGGTTTAGGCCTTGCTTCCTGCTAAGGTTACGACATTTTTCAGAAAAAAATGAAAGTCATATAAACCACTACCTGCACGAGGAAGTAGTTATAAAAAAATGTATAAACAGCATTGTATACCACAATCCCTTCCAGCAGACTGCCTGTCCCTCTTTTGCAAATGAATTTCATATTTTCACCTGGTTACACATGTTCTTTTCAGGCCATGTGCAAGATCTACTACAATAAGAGTCTGCTCTTATTTAGGACTACATGTGATAGCAGATTTTATGTTGTTTATTTACACCATACTGCAGTTATATATAAAAATTATGGACATTGATCCACGCTACCACATAACTACTAAAGTAATTTCACTCTATCTTAGGGTATTAGATAATTATTTATCTATTCTATTCCAGTATTATTGCTTTAACTGTGGAGGAATACATTCAGTGCAGC